TTACAGCTGTGGCTCCAGCAAACATCAGCTGATACTAGAAAGTAATATTTGATAAATTCTAACAACAGCTGATCAAGCTTAAACGTGCTGCTGTTGTTTAGTGCGACATCCGCTGGTTTCCTCTTTGTCCGGAAACAAAATTTGTTTCTTTTCAGCTCAATACGAAACGCGTAATATTTTCTCTGAATGCGGGACAATTCCGTTTTTTACGGGACGGTTGGCAACTCTACTAACTAACCTTATGAATAAAATGAAGTTCAACATCAGTAACATCAAAGCACCCACCCAGCTGTATAGAAACTCTGTCATGCTAGCTAGCACACAGTACGAGTTATTGTAACTGACTGTAAAAAGTCAGCACAACAAAAATAAACTAAACCTAAACTTGGTTTATATCTGACCCAGATAGACTGCAGGTCATAACTTCTTACCTGAAGTTCAGTTCACCTGACACTCGGACCGGCGGCCGCCTCGGGTCTCTCCTCCTTCTGCCTCCCCTTTCTCTCATCCACCTGCTGGCCTCTGTGGAAGCCTCACCATAGCCACCACCAAGCAACTCAGTTATTAACCCTCAGTTTTACACATCGGCCACCATCTGGCCAATCCACCACCTTTCATTGTTTATACCGTTACAAAATTAACAACAACAAAAAAGCCATCTGCTGTAAAAACGAAAAATGGCCAGTCCAGCTATGGTCGGTATGAGGGAAATTTCTTTTGCAGTTTGTCTGAAAAGATGGACTTGCGCTTTGGGATCTTTTAAACATCATTAGGCGCGTTGGTGCTGTCTGTCCTCTCTGTGAGCGCAGAACAAGCGCTCACAAAGCAGCAGCTCGGGGATGAATGACGTCACACACATGGGTCCTGTGTCGGAATATAGAAAAACCCGGACATTTTTATCAATCTCGAAAACCCCCCGGACGCCCCTCACAGAACGTGAAAAGACGACATGTCCGGGGAAAAGAGGACGGTTGGTCACCATATTCTTCATTATACTAAGAATCAGCAGCAAAACAAGGCCCAGAGCTTGTCAAGATGAGAGCCCAGCAACCTTTTTCTGGTTTATTGCGCATGCACTTTGTAGTTAAACCTAAACAGTGATGGGAGACTCGCATGCTAGGCAAGTGTACATTGGCTCTGCTTTCACTATTCTAAGATCAGTCATAAGCCAAGATTTCTTCTGAGCTACTTTTCGCCAACAGACAAGCTTCTATGATTTATTATTGTAACAGCTATGTTTTCTCTTACTGACTACTTTGGCCAACATTTGTGATGTAGAGGAGTTAGAGTACAGAAGAACTTCTTTCTGCTAAAAAAAAAAAAAAGAAGTTATTCAGGTGTGACACAAGATATGAAAGAAAACCGGTTGGGATATTCAGGAACAAGCCAGGAACCACCAAGGCTCAAATCTGCCATGACCTGGAAGCTGCTGGAACACCAGCACTGTCCACATTGAAGCCAGTTTTACATGGCCATGGACTGTGAGGATGTCGACCAAGAAGGAAGCTCCTGCTACAAAACTGACACATTCAAGCTTTACTGAAATGTGTGGCTGCCCACACGAACAAGCCAAATGTCTCCTGGAGAAAAGTTTGATTGTCAGACAAGACAAAGAATGTTTGGCCACAATGACAAGAGGTAAGGTTGCAGGAGTAAAGGTGATTCTTTCAAACCTTAGAACACTGTACTTGGTGTCAAGCATGGTGGTGGTAGCATCATGCTTTCGGGCTGTTTTACTGCCAGTGCTGGTACATTACACAAAGTGGATGGAACAATGAAGGAGGAGGACTACCTCCAAATTCTTCAACTGATTCTTCAAGCTGCGTTTTCTGACTTTTAAACGTCCTCGGCACACTTTTCCTCCTTTAGCTCCACGGCATGTTTTTTTTTTTCTTAGCTCATGTTCCCTTGTTTTCGGTGAAGTGCAGCTCTTCACAGCTGAGAGCCGTCGCAGGCTAAATGTACTTCCTCTTCTGCTCGGCTGTATTCCATATGCTTCATCATTAAAAGTGCGGCTGCTGTAAGGAGTCATGTATAAATGTTGAATCGCAGCGGCGTGCGGTGGCACTCCAGAGACGACAGATGTTAGTGCAGAGACAATTAATTAACAAGCGAAGGAAACCCAGAGGGGATGGCGGGGACAGTTTGGACGTCATGGTCACGGAGATCTGGTTCTGATCCTGTTCTGATCGAGTGGATCTGCCTGCAGTATTTTTTCTAACTTCCAACGCCACCACAACACAGACTAGATAATTTTAGATATCAGAATTTATCAGTTAAGGGTGAAAAATAACAATATAACCTCAGACATGTTACATGGGTGTTTTGTTAGCAAATGAAAACTTAAACAAAAGAAACTTTGGTTGGATAATATGACTTTCCACATTTTCAAATGCAATTAAATTATTAAACAGTTATAGATTTTATCTTAATAATAAATTATAATAAATAAAATAAGATATCCCTTAATGGGAACCTTAAAGTGAACTCATCATGCTCATTTCAAACTCTAATCTCTAAATAAAACTGAACTGAACTGAGTGTCTTGATACCTGTGCTCTGTTAGAGTAGCTCTGCATTGTCCTTTATATTTAATTATTTCTTTTACTTTCTTTTACTTCTCTGCAAAGTTTCATGACATTCAGACTGCAGACAGGTCAAGGACCCTGAAAACACTTCTGAGGAACAACTCCAATAAAGCTCACTTAAAGTTCAACATTTTCTCCCTGAATGTTCAGTGACCTCCATCACCTCCCATCCACCTCCCGTCCTCCACCGTTGGACAGATGCGAGCGCTCCTGCAGTGCCGAATGCACGCTGAGCTGAGCGGAGTGTCGCTGATGGCGAGGCACATAATCGGCGTCCTGCATTACATCATAAGTAACCACAGCTGCAGGAAGTTTCAGGTCCTGGCAGGAGAGGAGCCATTTATCAGAGACCACCACAGACCATGTGGACTGGATGAAGAAGGTGGCCCCACTGCTGCTCAGCATCACCTATTATTTTAACATCATGTAGCTGCGCACACACACAGACACACAGTTTGTCAGGGCTCATGTTTCTGCAAAGGAAACCACATTTCCCATCAGCCCTTTTGTTCATTACCTGGTGCTTACTGTGAGTGTTTTTACCGTGATTTTGATACTTTTTGTGTCATCAACATGAACAGTCACCATGTGTCACCACACATCAGCAACAGCAGACTGAGCACAGAACCGTGTGCTGTATTATTAATGTTTATGTTTATTGCACTCACTCAGGTGCCACACACAGACTGTATGTAATAGATGGACCTGATGAGGTCATAAGGTGAGTGTGGGGTAGGCAGGATGTGGCCAAATGTGACATCTGGCCTCTGTCAGGTTTACCTGTGACTGAGATGAAGCAGCCAGACTCACCACAAGTCAACACCTTAAGAAGGCCAAATTTAGCCGAAAATGAAGGTGTGCATGACATCAGGGCCAAACCCTTTAACCAATAAGGTGTATGCGTGCTTGTTTCTGTTCGTACCTGAGTTAACTGATGATTAACTCATCATCCTATACATGGAATCCTGAGTGATGTTTAAGTCGTGTGATTACAGTTGAGTTTCTTGAGTAACGCCTTATTTGGGGTGGATTTCTGTGCATAGGTTAGGTGGAGCGATTATAATTGTACCTGCTCTTCTCATTGTTTTTAATCTAGTCCAGGTGAAACTGCAGACAGAATGCACTTCCACAGACTTTCTTCTGATAGGCTGGCTCACACAACCAGGAGGTTTGTCCAGTAGGTGGGTGGGGCTTCTGTGCCTTAGAGGATTTATGAGCTGTGTCCACACTTGAAATTACATAGTGACCATAATAGCCACTGGAAGTGGGCGGAACCTTTCTCAACATCTAGGCGAGTGATTGGAACAACTACCAACAAGAGTGACAAATAACATTGACTGACTTTGTAGCAAATACATTAAAATAGGCAACCAAATCTTGGAATATCTGCAAGTGACTAGTCATCAGCTTCAAACAAACAAACAGATATCTCACCAATATCACCAAACAACTGACTTTTACCTCAACACAGACTCCAACACAAACTCCAAAAGGACAAAAACGATAAGCAGTCTGTTTATAGGACTTTGGTTTAGCTGCTAGCAAGCAAGCTAAAGTTAGCCAGCTAGCACTATGGTGATTATCAAGCAGTTTGTCTGTGTTAGCAGGTAAGCTAACGTAAGCTAATATTAGCCAGAAAAAGAACAGTATTATCTCATGAAGCCTGAAGTTGTGAATGGATAACACTGAATAATTTATTCTAATTCCTGGGCTTTATCTTGTAATGTTGCTAGCTGTTCAAATTACTTGGTCAGCTAACATTAAAAGCTATCACCAGATTGATGCAGCTAGCTGGCTAAATAACATTAGGGCTACAAAACTGTATCTTAGTCAAAATGCTTGTTAGCTGACTACTCGGATTATTTCCATGACACTAGCTTCATTAATATTGACTTTATCCATCAGTAAATCATGTGGCACAAAACAAAGAAGTCTAACTACCATTTACTTTTGGCAATTTATGGTTAATGGCCTGCATTTGTATAGCGCTTTACTCAGTCCCTAAGGACCCCAAAGCGCTTTACACTACATTCAGTCATTCACCCATTCACACACACATTCACACACTGGCAATGGCAAGCTACGTTGTAGCCACAGCTGCCCTGGGGCGCACTGATGATTCGTTTTTTATGTGCAACTTAAAATGTGCACAAAGAGGCTCTTTATTCATTGATCAGGTGGGGAAACTTTTGGATCAGCTGCAGGAAGTGTCATCGGGATTTTTACTGTCCCAAAGAAGCTTTTACAAATCAAAAAATCCTAATAGTTGTGGTGAACTAGTGCAGATGTGTACAAAGGTTGTGTCTTTTTCGTAGTAGTGAAGCTGAGGATTGTCTGCAGCCCACATGCTGCCACCTTCAATGTAACTTGTCACTCCGAATTATCCTTCACCTCTGTGACACGCCGCAGGTTAACAGTCCAACCGTAAAGTGGCGGTGCTAATGCTCAGCAGCTGGCTGCTTTTCTGTGGTTAAATCAGAGTTTACAAGCTGGTAAGTTGAGCTAAGACAAGTGATTAATAAAGACACTAAAACAGAGTCAGAAATCAGTGTGTTTGCAGGCCCCTTGGATCTTTTTCCCAACCCAGAAATAGACATATCACATTTAATCAGTTAAAAAAGTACAAATCTGCATTGTGAGGCACAAACGAGCTGCTTCATTTGAGATTAAATGCAGCAAAATGAAATAAAGACTACATTTAAGCGGTTGTGTTTCCTCCACAGCCAGCTGGTGTCCGTACGGAGGCTTCGACAGCACGGAGAGGATGTGAGAAACGTGGGAAGCAGAGGGAGATCTCCCGGGACTGACAAAACAACTCCCTAACAAAGGAGATATTAACCCGAGGAGGAATCCCAATCCAGGCCGTTTGAAGCTGACAGTTAATGAGAGTCTGCAAAAATCTGTTTACAGCTCAAACTGCAGCCTGGAATTAAATATTGGACTCTGTATGTGTTTGAGTTTAACTTGACATCTTTCTTCTTTTTTTTTTTAACTGAAATGATCTAAAGTTGAAGTAAAAAAAGAAAAAACAAAGATGCTGAAAATGGGGTCTAATAGTGGTGATTTAAATTTGTTCCATAGTCAGTAGTTTTGGACAGATTATCGTGACCTTGGGGGTGGACATAAATTTGTCATGGGAGAAAAAAAGAAGGGATAGCAGATGAGGAGAAGAAAGAAAAGAGAGGATGGGAAATAAGAAATAGGAAAATTCCAGGGGAAAGAAAATCAGGGAAGACGGAATGAAGGAAAAAGAAAGTTAGGAAAGATTAATGATTAAAGGTTGAAGAAAAGAAGAATACAAAGGCAGGAATTTCGTCCCGTTATAAATGATAGTAGCCATAGTTGTCTTATAGATGAATTTGAAGCAGTTTTATCTGAAACGGTTCAGATGTTTAATCTATTGCTTTCTGAGCATTGATTTGTTTGTTTTAGTGTCCCTGAACACGATTCTTTTCCTTTTAAAAGGCAAAACCCCCAAAAGCTACACTTATAAATACCCAGTTTTGAGTCTTACATGTCACAGTTTTTTACACTTAATTTGTAATAATTGTAAAAATGTGTGTTCCTCACTCCTCCGTTAATCGCCACCTTACCGTGCCGATGGGTTTATGTGTCCCAATGATCCTGGAGGCTAAATTTCCCCCCAACAGAAGACTACATCACTCTTTGAAAAAACTGAAACCCAAACAGCCGTTAGTGATATTTCAGATGTGACAGCAGGAATTTTAAAGCCTCCTGAGGGACAAAAAAATTGAATTATAAAGCATTCAAATTATTGTCTTTCTTACAAACAGACTTCCCAAAAGTTGAATCAAGTCTATGTTAAACAACATCTTAAGCCTGGATTCTCGGTAATAACCAGCAGACGGCGACATATTTGATTGTAAAAAAAAAGTCCGGGTGTGTAGAAATCTGTATGAAAATGGCCATCTACCTCTCTTTATTCATGAGCTCAGGATTCACTGTCTTGATGAATTTATGAGCTTAGTTCCAAATCTTCTTTAATACAGTGTGACGTTCACTTTGGCTCCATTAGTATTAAAAAGGACAATAAAACAGGCGATGATTTAAGGTGAGGCTAACCTTTAATCCAGATCTATCACTTGCTTATGACATCAGGTTTCAGAACACCAAGACAATAACTGTCAAAACATTAAGTTTAACTTAAAAAAATCTCGAAATAAACTTTGTGACTTTGCGTGACTTTGCGCACCAATGTGGCGTTATCCATGTTTTTTATTAAGTTGGTCACCAGGCTCATTCTACATATAAGCATGATTGTTTCCAGTGTAAAAGAAATGTTCAAAGCAAAACCTGCATGTTTTTTGTTTGTTTTGTTTACAGATCCACAGGATGTAAAAAGACAGACATTTTTGTTATTAACTCTTTTTATTATTTTTACTTGACTCGGGCTGCCTTCCCATCCCTTCCTCAACCCTGGATGTTTTTATCCTCGCTGTATGCATTCATGTCATAACTAATAAAACAGTCTATCAGACTCTGGAAGGTGACAGAGGCAAACAGGCGGTTTGTTTGGCAGCAGGCTCGACTCCCGGCTGAATATTCATCAGCACCACCTGCCCTCCTGCATGGTGTTTAACAGCAGCTTCAAAGCCACGGCCACAGTGTATGTTGGCTTCTTGTTCAGAGGACTTTATCCCTGCTTTGTCGGCCCTCACAGCGACCTCCGGTGGCCTGAACAGCTTTGAAGGCCTTCTACACGATGATGCAGTCGTCCTTCGCTCGCTGTCTGCAGCTCCTCTAAACGAGGTCCTCTTCCATCCAGAGAGCCATCTATCAGGATGAAACAAATGAGTCATTACGGCAGCTTTCAGAGCGTCCCGGCAAGGCTAATTCTGCTCTTCTCCTGAAACATGTGGGAGTTTTTAATATTGTGGAGAGGAGAAGAAGGTGTCATCCTGGGACCAGTTTGGCTTTTCATCAATCTGCCATTTCCTTTTCTTTCCTTTTTGGGGGGGTTGTTATTTTTTTCCCTCTCGCCTACACTGAGTGAGAAACAGCGATACAAAGACCCAGAACAAAGCTGTTTTTTTTTTTATTGTACTCCACTTAAAAAATCAGCTCTTGTTGTGCTGAAATCTCAAAGGAAACTTGGACTTGAGAGAGGTGGATGTTTTTCCAATAAAAGCTCTGGGAATATTATGAAATCTCTTTGTTATGCACGTCAAAGTTTTGCTCGTTTTTCAAAGTTAGAGCATATTTTGTAAAAGAAAAGGTTCTCATCAGCTGGTAACTTAAAAGAAACCAGATCTTGCTCCTTTAATAACAAAGTGGTATCCTTTCAGTAAAGGGTAGGCAGACATGAAACTAAACCATTAGCTGCAAATGTAAATCATCAGTTTGTGAGCTAAAATAGCAGAAAACATTCCTGTGTTAATGCTACAAACAGACAAACTGAAAAATGTGTCGACATACACAACATATGCAAAATACATGTAGCTAATAACGCTGGCTGTTTAACCTTTTAGCAAATGTAAGTGAAAGTTTATGAGC